ACCCCCTATTGAAGTATAAGAATAAACTAATCATACAGTTTTTATCGCTTCCCCCCCCCCCCCCACCCTAGTGATATGTCTCTCTCTCTCTCATTCAGTTTGTTCCTTGAAGTAAAAAATCTTCTTTGTTATTTATAGCATAAATTTCTTTTATTCGGCCTGAGGGATTTGTATTGTTTCTTGGATGTGTGATTCTTGAATCTGAGTTTATGGTTTCCTATTGTCTCTGTGTGTTTGTGTGTGTTTTTTTTCGGATTGATGCAAGTTTGTGCTGGTTAATTTATTGCTCGTTTCAGGTAGGGTTTTTTCCGTCGGCGTTGATGGTTTGTGAAGAGGAGGCCGTTAACCAAGGAAGAAAAAACTCTCTCTTGGGTGGGGGCTTTTTATCCTTTCTGTCTGTATTTCTTTGATGTAGGTCAATGTCTTTCATTTGGGCATGTCTCTTGTTTCATTTGGGTATCTCCCTTTCCATTACTACTCTCTTTTCGTAGTTCTTGATCAATTATTGATTCCATCTTTTTTTCTTTTGGATTGGAAAATCATGGTTTTTTTTGCCTTCTTATTTTGGGTTAGGTTCTACTGAGTTGTAAGGTCTGTTCATTTTTTTGGCTTGTTGTTGTTGTTGTCTCATTTTCATTGTCGTTAGTCTCTTATATTTCTTGGTTTTGGGATCGAAGCAATCTTGCTCGTCTTTCATTTGATTGCTCGTCTTTCATTTGAACGCTCTTTGATTTGGTTCTTCAAAGGTTAGTTCTGTTTCTCTCTTTAAAAAAAGGCTTTAATCAGCTAGTGATTTGTAGCTCTCTCTCACTCATTCTTATTCAGTTTGTTTGTCGAAGCAAACAATCTTCTTTGTTCTTTATAGCAGCGATTTCCTTTATTGGGTCCGAGGGATTTGACTTGTTCATTGGATGCGTGATTCTTGAGTTTGAAAATGGTTTTTTAGCCCTTACTGGTGTATTTATTTAATTATTGGGTTTAAAATGAGTTTTGTATGCTTCAATTTAGAATCAAGCCGTTGCTGACTCTTTGTTAATTGTTATTTATTTAGGTTCTACGGAATTGTAAGGTTTGTTCTGTTTTTTTTTTTTTTTTTGGCACGATCATTGATTTATTTTTTCTTCTGATTTCTGATTTTCATTATCTTCAGTTTCCTCTTATATCTTTTGGTTTTGGGGTCGAAGCAATCATGCTCTTGTATTTCGGTGGTACGTTCTTTGATTTGATTCTTCAAAGCTTAGTTATGTTACTCTCAATAATAAAAAAATAGGCTCTAACTAGCTTGTGATTTTATCTTTAGCATACATAAACTTTTCTTTGATCATACAGAAATGCATTTTTTTTAATGTATTTGTTTGGCTGGCCGATTTCAGCGGAAACTTCATAAGCAATGGTGCTTCCAATTTTAGTGGAACACACTGAAATAATCTTGAGAACTGTCATGGAGTGACCGGTAAGTGATTTCTCATTGTGAAAAACAAACAAAAGTGTTTCTCTCAGTTTGTTCCTTGAAGCGAAAAATCTTCTTCGTTATTTATAGCATCGATTTCCTTTATTGGGTCTAAGGGATTTGTATTGTTTCTTGGATGTGTGATTCTTGAATTTGAGTTTAAAATTGCTTACCTTTCTCTGTGTGTCGTTGTGTGTGTGTGTGTGTGTGTGTGTTTTTTTTTTTTTTTTTTTTTGGTTTGATGCAAGTTTGTGTTGGTTGTGGCTTTTTTCAAGTAGGGTTTTTTCCGTCGGCGTTGATTAAATCGCTCTCTCTCGGGTGAGGGGTTTTGATCGTTTGTGGCTGTATTTCTTTGATGCAGGTCATTTTATCCTTCATTTGGGCGTGTTTCTTGTTTCATATGGGTATGTCCCTTTCCATTACAATTCTCTTTTCATTTTTTTTGAATGTATTTGTTTGGCTGGCCGATTTCAGCGGAAACTTCATAAGCAAAGGTTCTTCCAATTTCAGTGGAACACACTGGAATTATCTTGAGAACTGTCACGAAGTGACCGGTAAGCGATTTCTCATTGTGAAAAACAAACAAAAGTGGTTGAAACTGGTTTTATGTTTTTAGTGATAATTTACACCTCATTGTTTTGTTTGGATTTCATTGGTATGATTTGATAGTTTTGTGTTTCTTGTTGATTTTTGAATCTTAATCTATAGGTTAAAATTTCTTGGCTTTATTTTTACTGTTGTTTGAATTAGGTTTGGTTTCTGTTTAATGGTTCGTTACTAAATTGTGGTATTCAGATGTTCAGGAGCTCTTTTGGAGATGATGTTCTCTCTACCATTTGTTAAGTGGCTGATTTAGAGCTTGAGAACAAACTAAGATTCAGTGGCTTGTTTTTGTTACTAAGATTTTTTCAGTGGCTGATTTTTGTTACTAAGATTTCTTCAGTGGCCGATTTTTGTGAGACACTAATATTTTTTATTATTATTGAATTTACTATGGCTATTGCGAGAAAGTAATCTATAAAAAAAAAGGCGGACCCCAGTGCCAAAGAGGCTCCTGTACTATGACAGCGAGAAAGTAATCTATATGATTTTTTATTTAGTCTTCTGTAAAAGGCACTTTAATTTATTGCAAACTTAGAAGTTTTCACAAAGTGAATAATACTTTGTCCTTTCATGATTTTTGTGGTACGTTCAAATATAATGTTTGTTGTGTGCAAGTCATATGCTGTACTGATATCAGCTCATTCACTTGTAGGATCCTAAAGTCTTTTTCCATGCATTTTTGGTAATTAGATTGCAGGGTATGAAAAGATAGATCAAAATGCTCCTTTAATAAAAAGTATGCCTTATTTGATGGGGTCTCTGTTCTTCTTGGTAAGATTTATTTTTCTTTATTTATCTTGGTTATGAAAGTGGTGCAGGTATTTAGTTCTTTTCTAGATCAATTTTTTTATTTTGTGCTTCATAAATCGTAGAGATATGTGTGTTTGTTAGAAAGTTATTGGTGGTTTATTGTTCTTGTATGTGTGGACTTATCTTTTCGGTCTTAAAGCTGTTTGGAACACGACAGAAATATAACCAGGTTATTGCTGTTGTTTTTGGTTTTGAGACTATTGGTTTTGCAGTGAGTTTTCTTGTGGGGTGCCTTTGCGCTATTTTCCTTCTGTTGAAAACTTCACTTTTATCTTTAGCATACATAAAAGAACGAAAGATTATTCCTTCTTCCATTGCATGCCACATGGAGCTACTCCTTTTAGTGCTTTTTTCTCCCTCTTTTCGTTTCTCATGTTTTCCTTTCTGGCTTCTCTTTTTTGTTATTCTCAATTGTCTTTCTCGTTTCTTTCTGCCCTTTTCTCATTGCTCTCTCTGTGCAATTGGACAAGAACTGGTTATGAGGGCTTATCAGAAGTTGATGTTAATAACGCAAACTTGTTGTTCATATAAGTCTTTGCACAAAAAAAAAATCCTGGGGTTTCTTTACGTCTGCGTGTGTGTGTGTATGTTTCGTTTTCTTTTTGTTTCTCTTTTGTTAATGCAAGTTTGTGCTTGTTATGGATTGTTTCGGGTGGAGTTTTTTCTGTCAGAGTTGATTTGGGTTTGTGAAAAGGAGGTCGTTAACCGAAGAAAAAAATCTCCATCTCTCTCTCTCTCTCTCTCGGGTGGGGGTTTTTGATCATTTGTGGCTTCTTTGATGCATGTCATTTTGTCCTTCATTATGGCAAGTCTCTTGTTTCATTTGGGTATGTCCCTTTCCATTGCAATGTTCTTTGTTTAGTACTTGATCAGTTGTTTGATTCCTTTTTTTTTCTTTTTTGTTGGACACTCATTGCTTTTTTCCCCCCTTGTGATTTTGGGTTTGGTTCTACTGAATTGTAAGGTTTGTTCCCTTTTCTTATACATGATCATTGATTTATTTTTTCTTCTGATTTTTTATTTTCATTATCTTCAATTTCCTCTTATATTTCTTGGTTTTGCAGTCGAAGCAATCTTGCTCGTCTTTCATTGGTACACTCTTTGTTTTGGTTCTTCAAAGGTTAGTTCTGTTACTCTAAAAAAAGGGCTTTAATCAGCTCGTGATTTGTAGCTCTCTCTCCCCCTCCCCTCTCTCTCTCTCTCTCTCTCTCTCTCTCTCTCTCTCTCTCTTATTTAGTTTGTTCCTTGAAGCAAAAAATCTTCCTTGTTATTTATAGCATCGATTTCTTTTATTAGGTCTGAGGTATTTGTATTATTTCTTGGATGTGTGATTCTTGAATTTGAGTTTACGGTTTCTTATCGTCTCTGTGTGTGTTTTCGTGTGTGTGTGTGTGTGTTTTTATTTTTTATTTTGGTCAGATGCAAGTTTGTGCTGGTTATGGCTTGTTTCAGGTAGTGTTTTTCCCGTCGGTGTTGATTTGGATTTGCGAAGAGGAGGCCATTAACCATGGAATAAAAATCTCTCTCTCTCTAATGTGACGATGTATTTTGTTTTATTCTAATAAAATTATGAATATAATGTGATGAAATTAATATGAATTTAGGTTTATATGCTGGAATTATGTTATGTGGTTTATCGTTTAATTGTTATAGATATTTATATATATATATATAAGATATATTTTATATACAAGTAGACCAATAATTGTTCGCTTCATCATCATCAGATCGCGACAAATTCAAGATGTCTAATCCAAGCTCATGTGTTGTCTCTTTTGCTCGTTCCTTGATGCCACACATGCAGCTGGGCTTCTGGTTCCGGTTCCATGTGGTGAGAGCATCAGATTTGGCCGCGCTAGATTTTTCCTTCTGTCAAACAAAGTCATGTGTGTTCTAGGTCTAGGTGGAGATCAAACCTGGCCTTTACAAAGTTTCTAAGGTATGCATTTCTTAGTTCTTCCGGAGCCAATAAAAGGTTCTCTTTGAAGTGTTTGGCACTAACTGTTCTTGACTCATACTTGTCTGTTTATTTTCTTAGCTTCTGCGCGGGGATTAGGGGCTTTTCTTTACCAATATGCCAGAAGAACTTATGAAGAAAAAAACCAGAAGAAGAGGTTGGAAGGTGAACACTAACACTTTTCCCTTTCATAAACTTTAGGTACGTTAAAATATAATGTTTATTGTTTGCAAGTCATATACTATACTGATATCAGTTCATTTACCATGCAAGATCCTAAAGTCCTTTTCCATGCATTTTTGATAATTGGATTGCAGGGTATCTAAGGATAGATCCAAAAGCTCCTTTAGTGAAAGTGTGCCTTATTTGATGTGGTGTTCCTCCTGGTAAGATTTATTATTATTTATTTAACCTGTTTATGAAAGTAGTGAAGGTATTTAGTTCTTTTCTAGATCAATTTTCTAATTTTGTACTTCATAGATCGTAGAGATATGTGTATTTGTTAGATAGTTATTGGTGGTTTATTGTTCTTGTATGTGTGGTATTATCTTTTTGATCTTAAAGCTGTTTGGAACAGGACAAAAATATAACATGATCCTTGCTATTGTTTTTGGTTTTGAGACTCTTGGAGCACGTTTAGTATAAGGATTCTAGAACCTGGAACCATAATTCTGGTTCAAACCAGTGTTTGTTTATAAAAAGTTAAAAGTGGTTCTGATTTGACTCACCTAGAATCAGCGTTTGGTTTGGATTGTTTTGATTCAAGATTTAAACCCTGATATGATGTTTTAAACTAGATTTACTCCTAATTCTAAAACCATCTCCTCCCTTGATTTTGGGTGGTTTAAACCCCTGATTTTGATTCTAGTTTCAGAACTATAATTTGGACCCAAAATTATGAATCACGGTTCTTGTTCTAAAATCAAAATTAAAATCAATATGGTTTGAATTGTTATACCAAACGAAGCCTTGGTTTTGCGGTGGGTTTTCTTGTCGGCCTTTATGTTAATTTTCTTCTTTCTAAAACCTTACTTTTATCTTTAGCATACATAGAGAACCAAAGATATCTTCCTTCTATTGCATGCCACGTGGCGCTTCTCCTTCTTTAAGTGTTTTTTTCCCTCTTTTTGTTTCTCGTGCTTTCCTTTCTGACTTCTCTCTTTTGTTCTCAATTCGGTCTTTCTCATCTTGTTCTGCCTTTTCTCATTGCAATCTCGGTGTAATTGGACAAGACCTGTTGTTATGGGCTTATCAGAAGATGTTGTTAATAAGGGAATATTGTTGTTCATGGTAAGCCTTAAAAAAAAAACAAACAAAACAAAACAAAATTCTTGGGTTTCTTATCATTTGATCCGTGTGTGTGTTTTGGTTTTGTTACGACCCCCAGGATATGGCGTGATTATTGAGATTTAATTTAAAATTTAACTTAATTAAACTGGATTAATTAAGAAAAATCCATGAAAATAGAAAAAAAAATACAAATACCAAAATAGATATTAAAATATATTGTTTCAGAGTCTTTCTTTTACAAACAATATTTAAAACAGTCCATAAAGTTTAAAATAATACAACTCTGGGACAGTATTGGCCAATACAGTTTATATATAGAAATACAGTACAACTCAAAATTAAAAACTGTAAATTCAGAATAAACTAACCACTTTGAATCTTGCACGTTCAATCCTTTGGCATCTACTTAACATGTTGTAAATTTAAACTGCTAACTCTGGAGGTGGGGTTAAAACATTGAAAATAGAGGAAAAATGAGTGAAATGCCTAATAGGATATAATTTTATGAAGCTGAATAAATGAATGAAAGTACAGACGCCAACGAATCAGTCGGAACTAAACAACCATTTTACTGGAAGGTAATAAACTTAAATTCTAGATTACAGGCAACCAGCAAATAATTTAAGTAATTAAATTACTTACGACTAATGCAAGGGCAAACATCACCATAGTGGCCCGTACGGGTTCCGGGTCCTGCCCCCAAGGATACGATCTCCATATCCGGATATCTAGGCCATCAGCGGGTTTACCGGTTCTTAAAACATCTAATTTTAAAGAAATATCTGTTAAAACCTTAATTCAGTTCATTATGAGCTCAATAGCATACTTCATGCTATTTCTAAAACATGTTGTCTTTAAAACATTTTCACAGGCCAAAATACTTTAAAACAAGGCTAACAAGGATATGGACAAGAATATTCTACATCTTGACAATTTAGTTTACTGATAACTTCACATTGCCTAACCGTCTATTCTTGCCGGAGCATATTTCCGCGGCGGACTTAGGTTTTACCCCCCCTAAAGTGACCCCTCTGAGTTCAATTGTGCAGTCAATTTCACAAAATTATGACTCTAACTACACAGATCGGGACAGCCAACTTCAAAGATTTTTGGCGACTTGGTTCTCGATTCTCTGGCTATGGAACCTCAAAATTGGTTGAGGCTTTTGTTACCCACTTCCTTCTCTGAGTGTTTTGACACCAAAATCATGACGATCCAATGGTTGGATCGTCGAAACCACCCTCCACCCAAGCGAAAGCGGCGGTGAGCTCTGATCTCCGGCAAACGGCGGTGGATTCGTGCGGTTGAGGGTTGCTTCTTGCTCTACATCACCCTCTAAGTCCAATGGCACCGGCGGTGTCATCAACCTAGTCCAGGATAGTACACAACGGAGATGAGGCGTGACGGCCAAAATGGGCAGCTCCGGTGAGAATTGACGGGTGAGACAGCATGGGTTTTTTCGTCTCGTCGAGCTGAGTCCATAGGGACCAGAATCACTCCGATCGGAGGTCGGACGGCAAAGTTACGATGGCAAGAAGTTTTGGTAGTTTTCAGACATTTCGCCAACGATTGCGGCTGTTTCCGGCAGAGATGGAGGTCGTGCGGCATGTCAACAGGTCCAGCTCGTCAAGAGCTTTCCGATGGTGTGGGCAGTGTCGTGAAACGACACCGGAATCTCATCGGTGGTAGGTGACCGGCGTGGAGAGAGAGAGAGAGAGAGAGAGAGAGAGTCAACATGGGAGAGAAAGAGAAAGAGAGAAAGAGAGAAAAAGGAGAAAAATAAAGAAAAATAAAAGGAAAAAAGAAAAATTAGCTTAGACTTTCTGGGCAAATTTGATGATTTGACTTCAAAGTCCAATTTGAATAGAATATAGAATGATCCATTATTCAAATTCTGAAAAATTAGTTACAACACTTAAAAATGTTAAGGGACAGTAGTGTAAATTTCAAAACAATCCTTTTTAAAGGAGAAGGGTCCTTTACGTGATAATTATAAGTGAGAATCTTTCACTAATCTTAGATTAATTAACACTAACTATAAGATTTGATTAATTAATCTCAATTAATTTTATTGGATGTTATAGGTTTGATCAAGTTTGTGCCGGTTATTGGCTTGTTTCTGGATCTCTTTTTAAATGTTGTGGTTGTAGCAAATCTTTGTTTCTTTTTCGTTCATATATGATTGCGCTAGTTTGCTTGTCGATGGAGTTTTCATGATGAACTGTGAGATTGTAAAAATGTGGTCGCTTGAATTTGGCTTCATTTCATTGAAAAAGAAGGTTCATGCTCTTGTTAACTATTTTCTTGTTTTAGAAGGCGATGCTATGTGCATCTAAAAACAATGGGTTCTTCGTTTCATATATTTTTTGTTGTTTTCTTAAGTTTGAAATTGATCTTTATTTTTCGATGTTTTTCGAGAAAGAAAAAACGAAAACGTTTCTAAAACAGCGTTTGGCGCAATAAAGACAAAAAACGGATATGAAATTAATTTTTTGATTTAGTGTAAAATGAGAAAGAAATGAAAAACGACTTTTAGTTGTTTTTCATTTTTTATTTTTGTTTTTTCCTCTCTCGAGCAGAGAGAGAAAAATAGAGACATTAATGGATTTTTTTTACACTGAAAACAATCTATTGATAAAAGTACCAAACGCATTTTTAAAAATGATTTCTGTCTGAGATTGAAAACGTTTTCATTTTCATTTTCATACAAAAAAATAAAATTATTTTGGAATGAGTTCCAAACTCGCCCATTATGTAACATCCCATTTTCTACTTAACAGCAAATGGGGGATTTAATGTTAGAATTGGCGGTAATGATATCATGATAGTTATTACTAACATACTATTTAGTGATGTTACGATTGACAACGACGAGGACCTCAATGTGCTAGGAAAGGTTAATGCCAATTATGTGAGGATTATGTCTATTTTTCTCAATTAAAAATGGGACGATTTATTTTATTTTAGTTTAAGTGGAAAGGTGACAAATACTCATTAGATTATATGAGTCTGAATTTTTACCCGTCTGTTTTAGTTAAATAACTATATTAGTTAAAAGGGTAAAGAATAAGGGGTAAAACTTATAAACTGTAAGGGTAAGTTTAACAATTTTTCGTAATTTTTTTAATTAAAATTTGATTATAATGTGACGAAATTAATATAAATTTAGGTTTATATGTTAGAATTATGTTATCTGGTTTGTCATTTAACAATATATATATATATATATATATGTAAGTTAACGTCATATATACTAGGAGGGCACTACGTTTAAATATATTAATATATAATGTTACGCGCGTGTATAAATATATATGCACTAATTTTTGTCTAATGTTTTCCATGTTGATATCTGGATATGTATTGTACCGTTTTCAAACGGAGAATTAAAAGCCAACGTAGTTGCGGTGACTAAAAAAAAAAACCGTTTTTTCATTTGAAATGTTTAGATTTTCAAAACCTAATTAGCTACTACAATAGTATTCCATTCTACAACTCTATGTATATGCATATAGCACAGTTATAATATTAATAGTTAAGATTAATTACAAATTCTTTTTGAATTATATTTTGTAACTCATTGCTTTTCTAAAATGTAAACTTTGTTTCTCTGAAATAATAAAATGCAAAAAAAATTTAAGTTAATTTTAAATAGAAATTGACATTCAATTAGTTCTTTTAAGGTATTTTAGTAATTATGTGGCTTGAAATTTAATTTGAATATGAAGCGAATTTGAATTTAAAATTATAATTACGAAACATCCATCATTCAATGTATCCATCATTAATTGAATGTAAGTAAACAAATTTATGAATGATTTTTTTTTAGAATTCAAAAATTTATTTCGTTTTGAATATT